CCCCCCCCCGGCCCCTCCCGCAGCGCTGCGCACCCGCGGACCCCCCCGGAGCTCCCAGTCCCCCCCCCTCCTCCTCGCAACCCGTCCCCCCCCCGCTGCAGCTTCAATGGCCGCCGGCTGCCGCGCGGCCCCAACGCCCCGCTCGATGCCCACCGGCCTCCCCCGCCGCCGCCGATGCTCGGGGGTCCCGGGGCCGGGAGGAAGGAGGGGGGGTTTGGGGGGGCCGCGGGGGCGCGCGCTCACCTCCTCCCCGCGCTCCCCGCAGCGACTGCAGCAGCGGCGCGCGCCGCCCCGGCGGTTGCAGAGCCCGGTGACGTCGGAGGGGGCGTGGCGCGATATGCAGATGAGAGGCTGACGTCAGCGGAGGGGCAAACGGGGAGCGCCGATTGGCAGCCGGCAGACGGGGGGCGGGGCCGAGCTGGGACACGCCCCCTGCCGGGCGCGGCGCCGGGGCTGCGGGAGCGCCCATCCTCGGCGCGGGGCGGGGGGAGCGGGGAGGGTCGAGCAGCCCCGCACCGCTGCACCTGTCACCCTTAGGGCCCCTGAGCCCATCGCTCTCGGTGACCCCGCGCCCTGAGGTGACGCCCGCTGCAGGTGGGCGGCCGCGTCCCGCCCCGGACCTCGCGTCCTCCGACGGCCCCGCTGCGGGCTGAGCGCGGATTAGGCCGCGGCAGATGGCGGGGGCTCAGCCCGCAGCCGGGGCCCGAAGGCCTCGAGACCACCCATAGGGCCCGAGTGCGGCCCCACGCCTCCATCCCCCACCTCCAGGCGCGGCCTTCCGCACCCTGGCCCGCAGCATCACCCCGGTCCCCCCTTTGGGGCTGCGGGCAGCACAAGGTCTGCGGGGAGCACCGAGCGCTGCCCCCCCCCCCCGCCACGGCCGGGGTCACGGAGCCCCCATCCGCCCCACAGAGTCCCACACCTGTGGGACGCCCACCGCCCTCAGCCCGGCCCCGGGATCTGGCTGTTTTCTCCCCTCCCAGGAGGTTTGAGGAGGGCGGCTCCTCCCCCGTGGGGCGAAAGGAGGGGGTGGCAGTGCGGGGCTGGGGGGCCGTGGGGACCCTCTGTTGCTTTGGGGTGAAGGGAGGGGTTTGCCGGGGCGGTGCTGCGGGTGGGGCCGTGTTTGCCGATCAATCACCCCCGGGAGCAATGCGGAAGAGCAGGGAGCAAGCTCCGCGCCGCGCCAAGCCGGCGATTAAATATTTACCTTCGTGGGCAGTGTTTGCCAGCGACGGAGCGACATTTCCAGGGAGGAGTTCGGCTTTGTTCGAGCGCACAGCGCTGCTCTCCGCGCTCCCCGCGGGGTCCCGGGGGCACCGAGCGCATCGCGACCCGGGCACGGTGCCCCCAGCGCCCACGAGAGGAGCAACGTCCGCTTTGGAGAGGAGTGGAGAAACAAACGAGGTTTAATATCTGCAGGGTGAAGGAAGAAACCGAACCGTCGCGGGGCCGCCCCATCGGGGCCCACGGTGCCAAACAGCAATGAGTGCAGCCAGAGCAGCTCCTGCTGTGCGCGCCCAGGTGAGGCTGATGGGATGAAGTGAGCTACAAAAGGCTTTAAAAAGTGAAGCTGTCCCCCAGTAAAAACACCTCCGACTTGTGGGCGCACAGCCAGCGTTGTGCTGCGATGCCACTGTGTGCCACCGTGACACCAAAACGCTTTCAGCCGCACCGTGCTGAGTGGGGACTGCTCTGCTGTGCCCAGGGCTGGGATGGGGCAGGAGCAGCATCCTCGAGCCCTGTTTGTGGTGATGGGGACCTTTCCCAGCAGCTGGATGCCGGGTGGAAGCAGGGGAAGGGGTGAGCCATATCCTCACTGCCATTGGGATCTGCCCGGCGGCCACATGGGGACGTCCTCTGGGGCTGCGTGTGCCAGTCCCAGCAGCGCCCACGACCCTCTCTGGGGCAGTGCTCAGTCCCACATCCCCACAGCAGCGATGGAACCCTCTGGCCGGGCCGCTACGTGCCCAGGGGCAGGAATGTGACATTGCCCTCTGTGTCCAGGCACAGCTCCCCGCCGCTCTGGGGATCCGGCGCTGTGCACCCACCACCAGCCCCGTCCTTTGGCAGTGTCCCCTCCGGCACTCTCCTGTTGTCCACCTCCCTGTCCCCGGAGCCAGGTGACAAACGCTCTGTGTCAGCTGACTCCGAATCATCCGTAGCCGACGTCTTGGAGCCGCTGTTGTCCTCCTCCAAAGGGCTCTCGGGCCCCTCCGCTTCTGTGTCCGACTCTCCCTCCTCCTCTTCCAGTGTCATCTCAAACTGGGACTTGCCGGGGTCAGCGGGGGGAACTTCGGATCCCACCTCTGGCGGTGGGGAGGGGCTGTGTGGGATCATGCTCTGGTACCACTCCCGGTTGTCCTCCAGCGTGTCCAGGATCTCCTGGGCGTCAGGGTGCACCAGGTCGGCCCAGGTCTCCCACAGCGGGTGGGCGATGAAGTCGATGAATCCCACCTGTGGGAAGGGAGAGCTCAGCCCCCCGCGGTGCCCCTCAGCCCCGACCCCACGCCGTGCCCCCAACCTGGGACTTTTCCACGGAGGCGGTGTGCTTGTCACACATGGGGCTGATCTCCATCCCCTTCTCTCGCTCCCGGTCACCCTGGTGGAAGAACTCGGCCATGATGCGGTCGGTCCACTGCCGGTACAGCTCCAGCGGTTTGGTGGGGTTGCTGAGGTCGGCGCAGTGCACCATGTTCTGCAGGACCTGCAGGGCACCGCGCTGCTCAGCCAACAGCCCTCATCCCCAGGTCTGCCACCTCAATCCAGTGCCATGGGCTGAGCAACGCTCCTGCCACGTCCCCATGCCCACCTGGATCCGGTCAGAGTAGTTGTCCAGCAGCAGCACCCCCAGGCTGGTCACCTTCTTGGTCTCCACCATGGTCTTCAGGTCCGCCAGCAGGTTCATGTGCTTGGACATGTCAGTGGCCAGCACCTGGGCAGGGCATGCAGGGCAGGGTGCTCAGCCCGACCACAGCGCCCCACAGCCCCGCACCCCACAGCGCCGCGCACCATATCGATGGCCATCTTGCGGAGCGACTGCCTCTGCTTCTTGCTCAGGTTCTGGAAGATGTCGCAGTTCTCCTCCTGCAGCAGCTTGAAGCCCACAGCCAGGTGGTGATTCTCCAGTACCGAAGCATCGTTGTACATCAGCGCCAGCTCCGAGTCTGCGGGATGATGGCGCTGGTCGCATCGCGGTGACCCCACGCATGCAGCCCTGCCGCCCCGCTCCCCCCGGCTCACTGGTGTTGATGAGGAACTGATTGGAGACGCCGGGGTGGTCAACGTCGTGGATGGCGCTGGCGAAGATGGCGGCCATGATCTCCAGGTCGGTGAAGACGGCCTGGGAAGGGCGGCACAGGCGGTCACAGCCACGATGGATGCGTTTGGTGGCACCGAGGGAGCGGGGCTCACCTCCAGCGCCGGCGTGGAGAGCAGCACGTGGGTGGACTGCGCCACGTCGGCGGCGTGGATGCTGTTGTGGTACGCCACGTCGGCGCGGTAATGATCCTCCAGCGTCAGCATGTAGGTGAGGAAAGTGTCGGCGGGGATGCGGAACGTCTTCATCAGGTCACGCTCCTGCAGGAGGACCGGGCTGGGGTCATCCGAACAGTGAGGAGGGGGCAGCCCCCCCCCGGTGCTCACCTGGAAGATACTGTACATGAGGACCGTCAGCGGGCGGTTCCCTGAGTACTCGGCCACTTTGAAGATGTCGAGACCCCACTTGTTGGTGTCCTGCAGCTCCTGGGGACCGAGGGACGGGGTTCTGCGAGAGCCGGGACCCCGACGGGGGATGGACCCACGCTGGGCGGGGGCTCACCTTGGCCAGCAGCCCCTCCTGCTCCGTGCGCACCCCGAAGCGCGGGATGGCAGCAAGGCAGGGGCCGTGAGCCGGCCTCCTCACACCGCTGATCTGCGACATCGGCCGCTTCCTGCGCTCCCGCTCCTTCTCCTTGGGCAGCGCTGGAGGGATCTCCACCTCGTGCTGCTTGTCTGCGCGCCCGCGGCAGTGAGGGGGAGCACAGCCCCCCCGATGGCTGACGTCAGCCGGCACGGAGAGCACCGCGACGCCATGGCAACCGGGGGCCGCCGGGGGGCTGCCGGGAGCTCCCCCCACCCACCCACCCACCGTAGGGCTGTCCCCTGGGATCCCCCGTGCAGGGACAGCCCTGCGCCAGCTGCCAACCCACGCACCAGCACAGAGCAGCATCCACCAGCACGCCCCAGTTTGCACTGATGTTCATAGCCAGGACTGAGGCTGTGACACCCCCCAAAGCCGGGGCAGCTCCCAGAAAAGCCCCGATGCACTCCCCCAGACTTGTAAAATGTGAAAGAGTGGGGCTCAGCACTGCAGTGATGTGTGCCCAGCTCTGCGCAGCTGCTGCAGGCCCTGAGCTGCAGAGGGGTGCGGAGGCCCTGCCTGCCAGGAACTCACCCAGGAAGGTGCTGGAGATGTACTCGGACACCTGGTTCCCCGAGCGGCCGCTCTCCGAGAGGTGTGAGAGCTCCCGGCTCAGCATCCGCTTAAACTGCAGGTGGCAGCGGACAGGGATGAGCAGTGTGTGGGGCAGCCCCTATGCCCCCATGGCAGGGCAAGCACCCCCAGGGCGGCGGTCCTCACCTTGTTGGAAGCCATCTCGCTGACCGAGTGCCGCGTCTGCAGCGTCTCCAGCTGCTCCAGGCACCAGTCCAGCTCCTCCAGGGTCTCCAGCGACAGCTTCTGCTGAGCATCCTCTGCTGCAGGGCAGCACGGCGTCACAGCCGGGCACGGGGACACGGGTGGAGGCCCAACCCCGCCATCCCCACCAAGGGATGCCCACATCCCCATGGGGCTGTGATGGGATGGCGCTGGGGAGCGGTGCTGAGCGGGCGCTGCGGCCAGGCGCGCCGTCCCCAGTGCACAGCATGGTGTCACACCGTCCCCACGCCTCGCCCCGAGGTGACGCCCGGCCCGGGGCTCCCACAGGGCTCCATGCACAGCCCGGGGATTTATTAATGGAAGGTCTGACGTCAGCGGGAGCCGTTCCACCTCCACCGCTGTGTGAAGAGCGGATGGAGCCGCCGAAAACCCGACATGGATCCCAAAGGGCAAAGCCATCGCTGCACCCCACGGGTGAGGGAACACCGCACCCCCATTGCGGGACAGCGACCTGCCCCCTCCCCCCCGGGCCCCTGTTTGTCCCCATTGGGGCACTCACCGGACAGGCCGGCCCTGCTGGCGGAGGGGAGGCTGCTGCTCGACGCCCGCCTGCAGAACGCGCAGAGCTGAGCACCACGCCGTGCCCCCCAGCCCAGCCCAAACCCCCCCAGCTCCCCCACTCACTTGGTGCCCACGCGCTCCTGGAGGTGCAGCAGCACCATCATGTTGGTGCGCACGGTGCGCAGGCTGGCCAGGACCTGGGGGGTGTGAGAGGGGCTGGGGATGGGCTGCGCGCCGCCGGCCCTCCCCACAGCGCTGCGCACGGGGGGACGCGGGGACGTTTCCCCTCTTTTCGCACCTGGGCGAAGGGTGTGACGATCATGTCTTCCCCGTGCCTGCGGGGAGCAAAGATGGGTGAGGAGGGGGGCGAGGGGCGGGGGGAGGGCGGGACGGAGGGTCGGGGCTGACTTACAGGTCGCTGGCGGTGGAGGAGTTGCGGGACATGGCCTTGGGGGACAGGTCGTAGTCGCTGTCGGAGCGGTAGAGGAAGGACTCGCGGCGCTGGCCGTGGCTGAAGGCGCCCTGCAGCACCAGCCCTGCGCCCGGGCTGCACTGCGGCTCCAGCGGGCCCCTTCCCGGGGGGCCATTCTCCAGGTCAAAGCTGCAGGGATAGGGGACGGGGCTGGCATCGGCGGGGGCACCGGGAGCATTGGGGACACCGCTGCTGTCCCCGCTCGCAGCCAGGGCGAGGCCGGGACCCGTCCCGCTGCTGGAGGTGAGCCGCCCCGTGTCACCGTCATCCCTCGTCCCAACGTCCCCGGCGCCGCGGTCCGCCGCGAGTCCTCGAAAGTCTCCATCAGCCGTAGCCCAAAGCGCCAAGTCCCACAGGGGACCCGTCCAGGGCACGGAGCCAGGGGACATCGAAGGACAGAAACCACGGGGGAAGCCAAGCGCCGGGCCCTGGGGACGCGGTGGGGCGGTGCCATCCGAAGCCGCGCAGCCCACGGGGGACGAGAGGCACGGGGACGGGGATGGTGGCCCCGCGCTGTCCCCGTGGCAGCCGCCGCCCCGCTGCCCCCGGGTCATGGGAACGGCTGAGCACGGGGACACAGCGAGGGCCACCAGCATCCGTCCCCTCCCAGTGCCACAATGGGGACGGGGATGAGCCGCCCCAGGGAAGGACTGGAGCCGTGCTTCCCCGTCCCTCCTCCCTCCCCCCCACCCCGGACCTACCCGATGCAGGAGTGCCTCCGGGACGGGCAGCGGCCGCCTGGCTGCATCCCCGGCCCCGCTGTCAGCCTCTGCCCCGCGTCCCCGATGGTACGGGGACACAAAGCCGCATTGTGGCTCCTCCTGCCCTGCGGCTCAATTGGGGGTTTGTTCCCCCTCCGGTGCAGCTCAGCCACCCCGGGGACGGCCCCGACCCGGGCACGGTGTCACCAAGACGCGGAGCAGACACACACATACCCGCCACAATGGCTGCGGGGCACACCGGGGTGGGGGCAGTGTGGTCGAGGAGGGGGGGACGCAGCCGGGACAGCGGCTCTGGTGCCGAATTCAGAAATACTTTCCATGCAGTGCGGTGTCAGGCAGCGGGGGGGGGGGCGGGGGGCCGCTAAAAATAGGTGCTGTTACCATTGGAGAGGACACTGCTGCTCCCTGCAGTGCCCGGCCCCCCCAGGGTGGGAGTCAGCGCCTCCTGCCCCTCCGCCGTGCCTGCCGTGCCCCCACTGTGGGCAGCCGACCCACAGACGGAGCCCAGCAGCCCCCCCCGCCATGAGCACACCCGTCCTCGGCCACCGCTGCCCCCCGCCCAGCTCAGCCCCGCCGCCACAGAGGCCCCGCTCAGCCCCACATCCCCACCGATGGTGACACACCACAGCACCGAGGGCGTCCACGCTGTGTCCCCATTTCTCACTGCCCCACTGCCACCCCTACGCGCTGGGAACCCCTCTCGGACCCCCCCCTTACCCGAGGGGATGCGCCACGGTGAAGCGGCGCTGCAGGCGGATGCTCTGGTTCACCCTCAGCCTCCTGAACAGCACGGGGGAGTTCCGGGGGGAGCCCCGCGGGGACCCCACCGGCGACGACACCCCCGGGGACGGCAGCATGGCCCCAATCGGGGCACCGAAGCGCAGCGCTGGGGGTCCGGACCCAAGGGGATGCGAGCGGTGCGGAGCAGGAAATGCGCGGCCGTTCCCCCCCGCAGCCCCGGGAAACTTTCCATCCCCTCCCGCCCGCGCCTGAGAAATTAAACAACTGTCTGCTTCGCCCCCCCCTCCCCCCCCGGCGCCCCGACGGCTCCTGCGGCCCCACGTGAGCACGGCCTGCAGACACGTGGCCCTGTGCCGCCCGCTGCCCTCCTGTCCCCGAGGTGGCAGCTGTGCCCGTCGGGTGAGGATGCTGTGCTGGGACGTGAGCAGCGCCACGCTGAGCGCCGTGTGAGCCGGGCACACGGTGGGGACACACCGCAGTGCCACCCAGGGACGGATGAAGCGGCCGTGCCAGGATGTCACCGAGGGACACAGCATGGCCGTGCTGCAGTGTGACCGAGGGACACAGCTGAGCCCAGAGCATCCGGACACACGGTGTGGACAGGCCACAGTGCCACCAAGGGACGAGCCTGGAGCATCCCGGATACACGCTGTGCTCATGGTATGGTGTCACCTAGGGACAAGGCCGAGCCCAGAGCACCCCGCGTACGACTGCAATCATGCCACAGTGTCACCAAGAGGCCCACGAGAGCCAACCTCGTCCCCCCCACACTCCTCCTCACTGCCCAGTGTGGGGACACAGAGCCGGTTGGGACCCCCAGGGACGCGCATGGCCCTGTCCTGGCCGTGGGAGCCGGGTGCCCCCTGACCCGGTGACGCAGCGGTACCTGCTGTCTGCGGCGAGGGCCAAAATATCCCGGGGGTGGCGGGGAGCCAGGAAGGGCCCCCCCGGCACGGCGGCACCCGCGGGACCCCCGGAGGCACCAGGGGAGCCGTGCAGAGGAGGGGACCCGCTGGGTGAGAGCATGGGGACATCGGGGGGGGTGTCGCGACAGCCTGGCACGGGGTGCGGGGGGGGGATTGGGACAGCGGGGTGGGGACAGAGCTGTCCCCGCCTGGCAGCCGGGAGCCCATGGGACAGCAGGGCTGGGCCGGACCGCGGGACAGCCAGTCCTCGGCTCCGGGACGGCACTGCCCGGCCCCCCCCCCGGGCAGGGACACGTGTCCGTGTGCGGGGGGGGGGGGACAGCGGGTGACACCGGAGCCGGGGTCGGGCCGGAGGGGGACGGCCCCGGGGGAGGGGGACGGGAACGGCCCCAAAATAACGGCGCGGCGGTGCCAGGGGAGGCAGCGAGGTCACCTCCGGGCCCGGGACGCGGGGACGGGACGGCGCTGCCCACCTCCCCGACCCCCCCCTCGGGGCCGCTGTCCGTTCCCCGGTGCTGAAACCGGTTCCGTTACCCCCCCGTAACCTTGGTACCCCCCCTGTCCGCCCCGGTGCTGAGCAGAACCCTCCGCTTCCCCCCCTGCCCCGCGGAGCACTGAGTTCCGGGCGGCCCGGACCGGCGCCGGCTTCCGGGGGGGGATCCGCCTCGTCGCCGCTGCTGGGGCCGCTCTCCTCGATGGTGAACACCACGCGGGAGCCCTCGGGCTCGGAGGCCCCCCGGCAGCCGAGCGGAGGCAGCAGAGGAGTCCCGGAGAAGCGGCGGCGGATGGCGCCCGGCAGGGATCCCGGCCCCGGTCCCGACGGCACGGCCTCGGCGACGTCGCGGCAGCGCTGTGGGGGACACGGGACAGCGGGCGGGAGGCGGTGAGGAGCCCGAGGTGCAGAGCCCCGGTGTCTTCGCCCCCTCAAGGGGCCCCGAAATGCAGGGAGGACAGCGGGGGATGTCCCGGTCCCGGCAGCTCCGTGAGTTCCTCCTCTCCCCCCCCTCTCCCCCCCGAGATCCCGCTGGAAAATCCCCCGGAGCCGGCGCGCAATTACGCAGGGGCGAATAATAATTAACAGCCCATTAGGGGGATAATTAACTCCGAGCGCCATCAGCACGTTAATTGCTGCCCGGAGGCGCCGTGCTGGGACGTTCCCACCGGGGATCCCCCTCAGGCGCCCCGGTACACCCCCGGTATCCCCCAGGCGCACCCCTGGTGCCCCCCAAGTGCTCCCCCCCGGTGCCCGGTCTCGGTGCGGTCTCACCTCCGCGCTCAGGAAGGGCAGCGCTGTGCGGCTCCGTCGCATCGTGGCTGCGGGGGGTGGGGGTGAGCGGGGGCTCCGCGTCACCCCTCGGTGGGGCGGGGGGAGCGGAGGGGCCGTTTACATTCCCATTCTATCGCGATGGACGGGGCTCAGCGCGGCGTCTCGGGGCTCAGAGAAGCGCCGGACCCCGCCCCCCGTGCCGCCCCAGAGCCCCCCGACATCGGCTCACCGCTATCCCCAAGGGACATCCGAGGGACGGGGACCCGAAGCCACGGGGATGGCCGCGCGCCCCATCCCAGAGCACCACCAGGCCCCAAATCCTCGCCCCCAAATCTCCAGAAGAGAGGAGCAGCCCCGGCATCTCCCCAGGTGCCACCGACGCGCCCCTCCCCCTTGCCCAGTGCTGAGCCTCCCCACCCCCATCCCCGTTTCCACGTCGGGGGTGGCCGCCCCACATCAACCCCAGCCCCACACCCGCCCCCATTACCGGATCGTGCCGCAGCCTCGGCCGAGTGCAGCCGAGCAGAAGGAAGGCGATGTGCGTGCCTGCCCGCTCGCGCCCTCCCTCCAGCCCACCCCGCTCGGGGGGGGGCACCGTGCATCCCCCCCCCCTCCGCCCCGCGCTCCTCCTCCATCTGCGCCCCGGGACCTCCATCCCAACCCCGACCCCCTCCCCGAGGATTTGACACCCACGGGGGTGCAGCTCAGATGGGAAACCAAAGCCGGGGCTGCAGCATCTTTATTCGGCACAGCGGGGTCACCTGGGGGGGTGACGGGCAAAGGAGGATTCCTCTGACACTTTGCCCTAAGGAAGGAGAGAGATGGGGTGAGAGATGGAACCCCTGCGGCCCCCCGCCGCCCCCCGGCCCCCCACGCACCATGGGCACCTCATCCAGCCTCTGGAAGTGGGGCTTCCTGCAGCGGCACAGCCGCACCAGCAGCATGGCCACGGCCCCGACCAGCACAGCCACAAAGAGGCAGATGATCACCACCACTCCGGGGTTGGATTTGGAGGAGGGCTGTGCTGTGGGGTGAGATGGGCACCCTGTCACACAGCTGTGCCCACCTGGGTGCCTGTGTCACATCCCACCTACCGCCAGCCCACAGCGCCGTGGAATAAAGGGGGAGCACAAAATACCTCACCGAAGTGGATGGGGAGAGATTTTGGGTGGTCTAAGGGGACAGAAGCCTCCTCCCTATGGGATCTGCACCCCCTGCAAGCACAGCCCCCAAACCAGGAGAATTCGGGGACTCCCATGGGGACAGGAATACACAGCAGCACCCAACGGCACCTGAGCACATCAAGTCCCTGTGCACAGCATGGGAAGGGACAGCAGCCCTGTGCAGCTCCCCCCCCCCCCCCAAATCCCACCCCATGGAGCTCACCCAGGCTGCCAGTCCCGAGCAGCTGCGCAGTGCTGGAGCTGAGAGCGGAGGAAGTGCCAGGAGCGGGGCTGGCGGTGGGCACAGCAGAGCTGGGAGGGGAGGTGGGCTGCCCAGGAGAGGACGGGGCCAGCGCTGTGCCTGGGGACCATGTGTGGTTGGGCACTGAGGTCAGCTTGGATGGGGCTGATGTGGTGGGGGCGTTGGATGGGGCTGTGGTCGTCAGAGCTGAGCCCGGTGTCACGGGCAGAGATGATGACCCTGCAGGGCTGGAGGGAGGTTCAGCTGCTGAAGTGCTTGGGGTCGCAGCTGAAGGTGCTGTTGCAGTGGTGTGCGGTGGAGATGGAGAGGCTGCTCTCTCTTTGCTGGGAGTTGTGTCCTGGGGCAACGTCTGTGGTTCAGCTGCCCCTGAGCTGGGTGAAGGCTCCTCACGTGTCCACGTGGTGACACCTACGGATGAGCTGGGCTGGGGCCGTGGTGTTGTTGATTCCTGGCCATGGACTGTCCCTAAGGAGAGAGCGGAGCAGCAGGGATGGGGCAGAGCCCCGGGGGGGCCGCAGCTCCTCCCCAATTCATTCTCCGGGTGCTTTTGCCATTGCACCGAGGGCACGATGCCCCTCCCAACCCCGAATGCAGCTCTCAGAAGGGCAGGAGGCTCCGAAGCAGCTGCAGCATTTGGCTCAGCACTGCTGGGGACGACGAGAGCAGCACTGCGGTGACGTTGCGCCCCAGCCCTGGGGACGTGCCATGCCACACCGCGCTGGCCCGGGCCGCGCACACCCTCGTTGGCAGCGCAGGGCTGTGCCAGAGGTGCTCTTATCGCCCCGTTCCTATTTGCACAACAGGAGGAGCAGCTCCGGCCCTGCCCAGGGGGCACCACGCGGACAGAGCGAGACCCGGGGGTGGCCCCACCGAGGGGTCCCCGATGGCCCCCCATGACCGCGAGCACCACTCGACGGGGGCTCCGCTGATCCCCGGGATGGGCAGCGGGGGGGACGCGGCCACCAGCCCAGTACCAGCGGTGTGCAGCCCCATGCCCCGACTGAGGGCTCGGCCCTGGACCCCCCCCGCTGTCCCGGAGCACCACGCACCGTCACACCGCGGCAGAGCCAGCCCCCTCGGGGCCGCAGCCACGCCAGCGCCCACCCGGAGCTGCCCGGTGTCCTCCCCCCCCCGTTACCTGCCGCCAGCAGGGGCGCCCACCCCCCCCCGCAGCCCCGCCCTGCCCCCCCCCCCCCGGCCCCGCTGTCCCTCCCGGTGCTGCCGATGCCGCTCTGTGTTTCGGCCGCCGCCGCCGCCGCCTTTATCTGCCCCGGGGGGGGGAACAGCGGCGCCCCCTGCCGGCCTCGGGCGGCGATGCAGCACCGGGAGGGGCAATTCTCCCCCCTCCCCCCACCTTCGTGCCTCCGTTTCCCCCCCGCAGCGTGAGGGCACCGCAGGTGCAGCGGGACACGGGGCGGGGACGTGGGGATATGGGGATATTTTGGGGACCTGGAGACAAGGGGACATGGGGATAAGGGGACTTGGGGGCGGGGGAAGGACCTGTGGGCACGAGGGCATAGGGATGTGGGGACGGAAGGAAGCGGGGATGTGGGAACACGAACACGTGGAAACACGGGAACTTGGGGAGACGGGAATTTGGGCATGAGGATGTGGGGAGATGTGAACACGGGAGCGCGGAGGATGTGGGGACGGGAGGATGCGGTGGGGACACGAGGCACGGGGATGGAGGATGCGGGGACGCGGGGCTCACCGTGCCCGCTGCAGACCTCCGCCACCCCCGGCACAGCCAGAGCGCCGGGCTCCCCGCCAACCCCCGGGGGCCGGGACGTTCCGTATCGGCACAGCCCGGCCCGGCACAGCCCGCACCGGAGCTGGAACGGTTCCCCACCCCGCCCTGTGCCACAACGGTGGCCTCGCAGCTCCAAATGCTCTCCGGGAAGAGCTTCATTCCGGGGAAACCGAGGCACGAGGTGCGGGTGCCGGGGAGGAGGAAAAGTCCCGGGGGCGGATGCGGGGCTGCTGGGCACGGAGCAGCAGGAAGCGGGGAGGGGGAAGGAAGCTCACCCCAAGAGTGCCGAGAAGGATCCCGCCCCGTGACCCCTCCCGTCGGGGGGGG